TCCATCAGAGGAGGAGCGCAGTGTCATCATGGAGTGTCATGCGAAATTGCGGGAAAGCGTGACTCCGACTGCCAGCAACATGCAGTTGATGGTGCGTTCTAAGATTCGACTTTGAGTTGACACACAGCATATCGGCTGATGCGGTTAGCCAGAATACCCAACTTGTGTAGAACGTGGGCAGTTACTTTCCGAAGCACGAGCCAATGCCTTTAAACTCAAACTCAACGCCTCAACTCACTGTTCACTCTTGAAATGCAGTTGCATTGACCTAGTTGTGACACGTTGAGGCATAATAATACTCCAAAAACGTTACTTTGGTATTGCCATTGACTTATTTGCCTGTCACGTATTTTCCCATTCAGACCTACTCATCAGAGATGGAAAAGCTGGCGGAATCGCTAGTGGCCACGTGTAGTCCCACCACTCCTTTTCCGATTACGTCTCCACAATATGAAGGTGCTGGGTCCATCTATGCATTTTTAACTCGCGAGCGACGCGACTATCACGACTTACTGTGCACAGTCGATGCCAGTGCCTACAGCTATGCAAACGACACTTGCGCTTCAGACTGTCAAGATTACAAGCATGTAAGTGCGCCTTTCATTAATACATTGTCATGATGCTGACCATAATTCTAAAATCGAGTCAAAAAATGTGAACAAGACTTAGCGGTTTGGTGTGATCACCGCAGCAATTAGTTTCACTAAACCAGAGGTATGGAAAATAGGCCAGTAACTATGAAGACATTAGCCATCATCGAATAATTGCTACGTGACGTAAATGTCCGCATTGGTAGAGGTGCACAAACTGGTATGAAAGCAAGTGGCAAGAAAAAAAACACAAGTTTTGCATGCTGCATTTGCCAGCTTGTATGAAAATCTGTTTCTTGATTTGAAGATGGTGTGGGCTAAATCGACGCAAGTTGGCTGCGCTTCGAGGAGATGTCTAAGAGCAGTTGGCAATTTACCTTCCCTTTATGCAATGGCATGTGTATACAAACCCAGGTAAGCCCTTCACAACATGTTTGACGTTGTCGCAGTGTCCGATTACTTCGATGAACGCTTGTTTACAGTGCAATAAGGCTCAAGGGAAGACCGTATGAAGAGGGTGTGAGTTGCAGCAAATGCCCAGATGGCTACAGATGTAACCGCAATCAATGTGATGCTAAAATACCGTCTCCAGCTAAAACAACCTCTGGTGCCGCAAAAACTTCATCTCTGGCGATGCTACTTTCCGCTGTCCTCGTCACGCAGTCCCTTGAATTCCATCACCTCTTTTCTCTGAACTAAAGTAACGCACTGACGGCGCTCTTGGCTTCCTTTTTTGTCTACAAATCGAATTAATATTCTGTCATTTAAATAAAATTGTTGTTAACGAATTCATGCCAGCTTGACTAAAAATTGTCTGTTTCTACTCCTGCTATAATTCATAAAACTCCTACCATTGTCCATGGAACGCATTATTTGTTCTGAGGAAATGACTGTTGACATGTAAATGCCAATGTCATTGGTTCTTTTTTCACAGGAATTGTATGTAAATCAGTGTTGTTGAAAACATGAAATGTTCATTTTGTGATTGGTTTAAATTTTCACGCATTTTTTGCTGCAATCTACCCTAGCATCCGCCATTAGCGGAATCAAAACACCGTCCCACGCATCGCACACATAGGTTCCACCCACCTGCTTTTAATAACGCCACCTAAAATAACACACACTGCTGCCGAGCCATTAAAATTTTACTGCTCAATTTGCGAAACCTCGCCTTAAATTGCACTAATTTTGTTGCTGGCAGTCGGAGTCACGCTTTCCCGCAATTTCGCATGACACTCCATGATGACACTGCGCTCCTCCTCTGATGGAACATCCGCCAGCACGTTGCACACCAAAACAAGTACACAGATGAACTTGATCATGATTTCTACAAGTAGCAAGGCAGTAAGGCAAGGAAAGTGAAAGTGAATTACTTCGGAGTCGGAGAATGTCAATACACTTGATGGAACTGAGCACGTTCAGGGACTTGAATGGGGCAGCTCTCATTTCACGCTTGCAATTATTATTATGGCATTGACGGTTGAAGATACGTCGTGCTGACCTGATTCGCCACCAGCGGAAACAAAACCCTGTCCCACGCATCGCACACATAGGTTCCACCCACCTGCTTTTAATAACGCCACTTAAAATAACACACACTGCTGCCGAGCCATTAAAATTTTACTGCTCAAATTGCGAAACCTCGGCTTAAATTGCACTAATTTTGTTTATGTCTGCGACCGAAAGCACACAACATCGTGCGTGTAGATGAAGACACACATAAATTCTCCACATTTTGTGTATCACATGAAACAAGAATGAATTTAGCACGAAGTGTTCTGCGTGATCAATTGCACCAGACGCGAAATGAAAACGGTATGGGTTTAGTTGTAATTTTATTTGATGGCGATCTCTACTTCCATCATTGAGTGTCTCGTTAGCCGATTAATAACGTGGCGAGCAGCAGGCGATCACAGTTAGCAAGCGTGAGCGAACACGATTCAATCGATTTTCGTGAGTGCACTTCACGCCACGCCGTTCGTACAGAGATCGGTGGTTAGCGGAGCTATATAAACGCACTTGTTATCCTGCACAAACACGCACCACTACTGCTGTGTAAATGAATTAGTTGAGCAACGCGTCACGTGCATTTTTTACGCTTCTTTCGGTCGGGCCTTGTCAGTGTAAATCGCCGGCCCTGGTGTGGTTTCCAAAACAACTCCAGGCGCCGCTACAAGTGCAATTCAACGCAAATGCCTTGCATGCACAGCCAAGAAGTTGAAACAATTGTAGCCTGCAGACAGGTTTTGCTGCGAACCACCTGGAAGCCTGGTCTCAGAGAAGACGTCACCAGCGGGGGTGGACAAGGCTGCGGTGGACGCTGAAGACTCACCGGAGAATCGATTTCTGCCGACAAGGAGGGACTGTCGGTGAGTGGAGGTGCAAATCGTGTAACCCACAAAAAAGCTGTTTTCTTTTGGGACGGTAGTAGTCGGACTACAGCAAGGTGAAAATTGTACAGAGGGTTTCTTCAGTTAGCCGTCTGTCGTAGCCTTATCGCCGCCAGGGTTGGTGGCACTGGCGGTCATCATGCCGTACGGGCTGTTTAGAGCTCTCCGAGTTAGCCACACTGCAGGCGAGGAAGCTATTGCTGCGGTTAATCCTCGTTATGATGGCCTCTAAACGTTTTGTGTATTACACGTTCCTCCTCAGTCCGACGCAAACACTCCAAACGATCGAGATTAATCGCTTCAAGTTCTAGGAGCTCCGACGTTGCCCTCTCGTCTTGGGCCTTGCATTCAGCGCACAAGCAGGCCTCCTGTCTTGTGGGCTCCTTGGCCTGACACGACTCGGCTGCCAAATGCGCCTCTTCGATGCCGCATTCAAGAGCAACCTGAAGCTCCATCTCGCAACGCTTAAGGCGCTTTCTCTCCTCCTGTGGCTGTCGCCGTTCCTGATTGGGAAGACGTTGTCTTGCGATTTGTGTTGTTCGGTCATTTCAGCACGATGGATGGCGACGGAGTTAGACTTTCTGTTTCGTGTACCTACGAATCGCAATGAAACGCAAATGGAAGGCCCTAGCTGAACTGCCAAAATGTGAACTAGGGACTGTTCAAGTTGTCGAATGAAGCATCTTGAGCCTCCGACGAAGTATACGAATTCAACTGTAGTGGACAGACAGCCACTGCTCGTGGGTGATGCGTGTATGCTTGCCTGACTGTACCAATGACTCACCCCCATTGGTATTGGCTCTTGTTAGAAGTCGCCTGTTAAGCACACGTATTGACACGCACATAAAAATTAGTCACTCAATTTGACTTGGCTGGTCTGTCCTGGCGTGAATAAACGGTCGTGTTCTCTGTCGACTCTTTTGCCATCTCTCTTCTCGGGTTGTTACCAGCTTTTAACTACAGGGTTGTATAGTTGCGCTAAACTCGGCCGCTACAATAATTAGGAATAGTGCAGTGTGAGGTTGCTTAACCTCGGCGTCGTGTTTGAGGTACATGCCTTATACCAGTGAATCTGAGTTTTGTTTAACAATTTAGAATCAGTATGACGATAAATGGATTAGCTAGTCTTTATCGCCGTGTGTGTTACTGTGTATTAGAACATGTTTCTAGGACAGTAATGGAGACAAATTAGGTGATCATCAGATGCATATTCTCTGGCTAATTCAGTACATTGTGTCTAGCACACATCTTTCGAGCGTATGGCGAAGTCACGCCGCAAAACAGCACGTCCACGTACGGCAAGTTTGATGTGTCAATGCAGCCTGTCACATTGTGAATGACGAACTTGTTGCATTGTTCCTCAAAGTGTAGTAGGGGTCATGTCGTGATGCACTCAAAATGAGATCAGATGCCTCGATTTAAACATGGACTGCAGGGGATTGAACACTGGAGTTTTTGTCTCCATTCCGAGCTGTCTAGCCTGGCTCCATTTGGTTTTGGCGTAGTTCACTCTGAAACT